CCCACTTAATTCAGTCAGTTCATTATATCTAAATTACCTGAGAGACTAAAATTTGCTTTGCCCACACCCCTACAGCCTTATATATTCCCCCCGGAGAAGTTAGCCGGTGAGATTGCAGGAAAGGAACAAACAACGTAAATGATCAGAGGAGATCCACGGAGACTTCAGGGGCTTCCAGGGCTCACGCTTCACTCTGCCAGCGTGAAACACTGGCGCGGCACTGGGAGAAACTTCCCCGGGAACCGGGGACACTGTCAACGTCGCCATGAAGTATTTTTTATGTATTTTATTTGTATTTATTTATCTATTTATGTATTTAGTACAAGGTCTACAGAGTCTTATTACGAAGATCGGACCCGAAGCCCTGGGATTACAGGTGCGCGCCACCACTCCCAATCTCAGTTGCAGTCTCAGTGCTCCCGGGGGTGGGACGGTATGGACGCCGGGGGATCGAACCCCAGCCACTGAGCTCTGCCTACGCAGGAGCTTGAGTCTACTGAGCTATCCGGCCAGCCATCACCATGAAATTTTAAATGGCACTCTTATTATTAAATACTAGGATTTTTCCTCTTTACTTCAAAGTGGATACTACGTTAAAAATGTAATTTAGATGTGAGAAAGTCTGTGAAGTCACTTAAGTAGTAACTGTAAGATAAAAGGTTAAAGATTGATTTTTACTCTCTCTGGGGCGATAGTTCGGTGGCGTAAACACCTACTTGATCAGGGTAAAGTCCGGAGTTCCGATCACCAGTATCAAAAAAAGATTGATTTTTAAATGTGGGAGACAAACATGTCTTTTTTTAAAAAATAATTTTATTGAGAAACAATAGCAATGAGACAGTTTCAAAAGTTACTAGTAAGACAGTTTCAATAATTAATACATTGCATATTGTTGTTTTAGTGGTTATTCATTGTACAAGATGCAGACTTGATATCCTGTCCACAAACACTATTACAACGACACTTTTTTCTCGCTGAATTAAGAGAATGCAGCTGTATATCTATCATAACTATTTTGAATATACAGATACAAAATGGTCATTCGTTTGTATTCCCCTTTTTGTTTAGTTTTGTTAGAGATGGGTATTCCATTGTCATTTAAATATTGTAGGTCTGAGAATTCAGCAAAATATTGCAATATAGCCCAGTAGTCCATAATAGTAGTGGGTTTTCCATAGGACTGGCAGTAAAACACATGTTCTTCATCGACAAAAGCTGACTCTATGAGGAGTTGGCGATTTGTCCCAGTGCCTACCCCACAGTCACATCGCCTGACAGGAGAACCCGCGCACCGTTCAGTCCATTCACACGCAGAGTGCAGCCTACTGAATATGAGGACCCTCATCGCTTCCCTTTCAAGCATGTGTTCTTCATTGATTTCCATATGCAGAG